GTCAGATGAATACAGCCAATGTAGTTCTGATGAATTGGTCCTCCCCAAAAGCTGCTCCGAGAAGCTGTAAATTCTTAGCGCCTCACATTTTCATAAGTACTAACATTTCTGGGGGAAAGGCAAAGTGTTTGCTTAACCTGAAAGTGTGTTTTCTGAATAGGGAAGCTCATCGTCAACATCATCGTTGTCATCATCGTTGTCATCATCGTCATCATTATCCTTTATTAAGCACGGGTTATGCACTAAGCAATCTTCTGGAAGCTTACAGATATTATCCATCATTTCTATAGCAACACTGCCGGGGTGCATCCTTGACCCCATTTTGTATAGGACACACTGATGTTCAGATAGGCACTTTGTTCAAGATCACACTGTTGGTACTTAAGTTCAAGTCTTTTGGAGTCCAAAATCCATACTATTTCTGCTATATTTCTTTGTGTGCAAATATTTGCCATTACTAATACAATGTTCTAGGCCAGATCAACATTCAGCAGCTGGATATGGGAACGACTGTTTACTCAATGCACTGGCTTTTTATAGAGAACTTCGGGTGGGTGTGCTGTTATTTAAGTGTGGATCCAGGAGGTGGGGGCTGGATTCCATTTCTGGTTCTCAAGGACTTTTTCTGTTTTTCTCTTTAATAAACTTTAATAAATACGATGCCACTTGCTTTTACTCCTATTTCATAAGATTCGATGAATTCATGTCTGCAAGTTATTCATAATACATTAGCTGGTAGGTATTCACACATTTTGCTAGTTGTTTTCTTTGTTTTTTGAAGGAAGTCAGACCATATGCGCTTCGTTATTAATTGAGCTGAAGTTTTTGGAGGGATCTAAGTGAGTGGCCAGAGGAGATTGGCATGGTCAACTCACCATCTGGAAAGCTCTTCAAGGCCTTCCTCCCATGAAGGGCTTACTACTAGGGAACCGTCAGTATGTCTAGCAGGTTGCTTGTCCCAGTTTTGTCGGAAGAGGGTCAACCCAAGAAAAGAATGGAAATGTGACTTGGCTCTAGACCTAGAGTCTGTATGCAAAAGTCACACTTTATATAAAATAATGGGAATAAAACCAAGCACTGATGAACGTCTGACCTTTTCAACATCTGAACATCTGAACATCTAACGAAATCTAATGAAGTCTAACGAAACAAAAACAGATAACAGCAGCCAAGAAAACTTTCAGAACTTTTCTAATATGGTTACTTGACCAAAATAAATTTTAGATATATCTGTTAAATTCCTGATTATGTACCAATCCCCTGTGAGGACAAAGAAAAAGTAAAATCAATGGGAAGATCTATACTCAAAAATATTTAACATTATTCAGCACTGGTTTTTTTAAAGATTTTTATTTATTTATTTGAGAGAGAGAGTGAGTGAGTGTGTGCGCACAAATGCAGGGAGGGACAGAGGGAGAAGGACAACAGACTCTTCACTAAGCAAGGAGCCTGAGGCAGGGCTCGATCTCAGGACCCTGGGATCATGACCTGGGCTGAAGGCAGACGCTTAACTGACTGAACCACCTAGGCGCCCATGTTCAACACTGTTTTAAGGAGATTTATACAATGAAACCAATAATCCTCATGACAATTATAATCCTTTTCCAGATGAGGAATCTGGGTGCAGACAGAGAAGGCAAGTAATTTGTCCAAAGTCACTAGACGGTTTTTTGACTCCATTGTTCATCCTTGCTTCATTTATTAATTCATTTATTGGCCATGATGTCTGGGTGCTAGTCAAGACTCTGGAGATGCAGCAGTGAACAAGCCCAAAGAAAATCCCTGTGCTCCGAGTGCTCACGTTTGAGTCCGGGGTGACCCCCAAACCGCACATACCACCTTTAACATGACATTCATGCCTTCTGAGGCTCTGGATGTGAAAAGTCCCACGTCTCATGTGGTGGTGGATGCTGTGTCTCTGCAGCGGGTGTTTGTTTTAGTAAATTGATTGTACGCTGTGAGTTTCAGATAACAGACATTGGAGCCTTTCTCTTGTTTCACCTCATATGGACATGAGTGAGAGGGTGTTTGGTAAACACTGGCTCTTTTTTAAGACTATGAAATTATTGGTCCTTTGCAAATGAAGTCTTTATGGCTACTGGATGGAGCGAAACTGTTCAAGTTTCAACCAGAGAGAGAGGGGGACTCAGAAGGACTGAAGACCCGAAGCAGAGTCCTCAACACGGATGTCTTGGCTCAGTGCTATGCACCCAGCACACGGATTTCTGGATTTGTGCTGAGTTGGTTTGAGCTGCATTCAGTCAAGGATGGGAACCATGGGAGACATGCTCTCTGAGCATCCAGAGGCCTCTCTCCCTGTGATGTTAGCTCCCAATGTTTCTTGCTATCTTAGCAACAAAGACCTCTGAGGGCAGGGACTCTAGTCCTCTCCCAGTTCCTCGAAGAACTGGCTTGTTTAAATACTTATCAAATGTCAAATGGGTAAGTGAAAAGATCCAAGGACCAAGAGTCATGATAGCTGATTTCTGGTCTTAGTAACTCAGGCCACTTTCTCCAGGTCTCTGGGCCTTTGCATCCTCATTTATAAAGCGAGAAGGCAAATCCCCTCAAACCCAGACAACTGCAGATGGTCTCTCTTCCAGGAATTCTTATTTGTAGTAATAGATAAGAAAAGCCCATAACTTACCTTGTACCTCTGCCTCATGGTGAACCTCACGGAAACTCCAAGTGGAGTCAGCTCTGACTTTCCGTAGAGTGCCAAGGAGCTGAAAGTTCTCTGTCAGGAAGGAGGGGATTTCATTGTTGTCATTATCACAATCATCTCTCATCTATTGAGCACTTAGAATATTCCAGGCTTTGTGCTAAGTAAGTGCTTTCTGTATCTCTTTTTCCCATTAATTCTTGAAACACAACTATGATTTGGTCCTTTTCTTTTCCTCATTTTATAAACAAATAAACCAAGGCTCAGGGAGGTTAATGAACTCAAGCGGGCTCACAGGCTAACAAGTGATGGGCACGCACGTGTGCATGCGTGTGTCTTTGTGTTTGTATGTGGGCAGGTGTTGAGGTCTTGGAGCAAGAGTATCTCTTTTTCCCTTTATTTGTCTAACTCTGCAGTGGGAAGGTCTGTCCATCCTCCAGAGGATACCAGACTCTGGCAAAGATCCACAGCTTAAATAAAACCCCTTCCTGTCAGACCCACTATTTTGGTCTGTTCAGGCTGCTATGAAAAATACCACAGACTGGGTGCCTTATAAACAACAAACATTTACTGCTCGTAGTTCTGGAGTCTGGAGTCTGAGATTAGGGTGCCAGCATGGTTAGGTTCTAGTGAAGGCCTTCTTCTGGGTCACAGACTTCTCATTGTATTCTCACTTGGTGGAAGGGGCTAAGGAGTGTTGGGTTTCTTTCATAAGAACACTAATGCCATTCATGAAGGCTCCCCTTTCGTGACTTAAGCAGCCCCGAAAGCAGCCCCGAAGGCCCCACCTTTTAATACCAGCATCTTTGGAAGTCAGGATTTCAACATATGAATTTGCGGGGGGAGTGGAGTACATAGTCAGATCATAGCACCTGCTCAAGCCAAGCCGAGCCAAGCCAAGACAAGCCAAGGTGTGAAAGTAACTAGATGCTTTCCCCAAAGGCACGGGAAGTTAAAGGGCAAGTTGGAATCCTCACTAACTGACTTCTCCAGCATAAGGAACCTCGGTTGATCACGGGGCATCAGTGATCTGTCGAAAAGAACCTGCAATGATTCCCTGAGGGGAAACTGGGGTTGTTAAAACTTTGGAAAACTTTTGTGACCCTTCATTACAGTTGTTAAAATGTCCTTCCATAAAAAAGACAATTCACTCAATTCTTCAGTCTCAAGATTACAACCGTCTTCAGAGGAGGGCACATACTCAGGCACCCACCAGACCTTGATTTCAAAAACATTTGTCTTGCTTTCTGTTGACACCAACAACGCTTCCATTGATGAAAACCAAGGACATTCAAACCCAGAGCATATCCACCACCATGGGGAAATTAATCATATGATCACTTTGAGTAATGGGCCCCCTGTTGGGACACATTGGCCAGTCTCCTTAGAACATACCCATGATTCATTACAAACCACACATCCCATCTTGTATAGCCTTCTCTTGGTAACTCACATACAAAATCGCCTCTGCTGGTAGGATAGCCTCCTTGGGCAATGTATTTGCTGTGCTGTTTCACAGAAGAAACACTATAAGCCAAAGAATACACATATCATAGTCTGGTGGCTGGGACACCTCGGTGAAGAGCACCTAATAAACTTGGGGCAAATGATAGGGCTGTATTTATGTCAGGTGTGGGTCCGTGGCTCCATGCTAGCCCACTCGCTATTCACAATACCTACATCTAGTGTCACTGGAGAGGACCTCCAGGCCTACCTACTAATTGAAATTATTATGCACCTTTTTCCTGGGTTTTCAATGTGCTTTTGTTTACCACTGCTGCTGGGTATGCAGAAAAACTGGTGTTAATTGTAATGGTGAATTAGAATTTTTTGTTCCCCTAAGCCCAGTATAAACTCTAGCCAGCCCCTGCAGGCTTCTCTGACCTCCTGGTCTGAGTTTGAGGGAATTTGAGAGCTTGCCATCTCATTTCACATACAAGGATAAGAAGGAACAGAGAACTTGAGCACATGACCAAAGTCCCAGCTACTTGTTGTCAGAATCAAGATCAGAAACTAGCTATCCTGACTCTTGGACTTGGGATATTTTCACTTGTTCAGTCCACCATTTGACAAGCACTTAAGCCAATTCTTTGAGGAACTGAGAACATGGAGATGAAAGGGGGTCTCTGTCCTGAGGAGGCCCCTGTCTTTGTTGCTATGATTGCCAGAAGCACTGGGAGCTAACATCAAAGGGAGGGAAACCTCGCAATGCTCAGAGAGAGTGAGACTCTCCGTGGTGCCTGCCCTCCACTTAAAGCAGCTTGCTCCAAATCAGCACAAATCCAGGATTCATGGAATAAAACCGCTGGAGAACAAGGTCAGAAGGACCTGGGCCCAGGGACCCAATACAGTGCCTTCTTAGCTCCCCTGAGAAGCAAGCTGAAGAGCGGCCCCAAGTGACAACTGTGGGACTCACGGCTGGGCCTTGCCCCCCACACCAGCACCGCCTGGGATGAATCACACACCAGAGAACAACGGGGCTATTTCTTGAGAGTCATTTGTCAAGTTGACATCCCTGCCTAGAGTTATTTAGGGCTTTCTAAAGACACTTTTTTCCCTCCCCGTTGCAGGAAGCACCTGCGAGGCTGTTGAGTTGTGGTTTTGCTCAATAGCACTTTGATATCCCTTTAAGGCCATCAATTACCCTTCTGTCCTTGCCGGCATGGGCTTTGCCTGATACAAAGATAGGAAAGCTTAAAGAGGATGATGAAGAGGAAGATGACGGTGAGTTCCTCTGGGATCTGAGGCCAGACGCTGTCTGGAGGTGGGCTTCTTGTTGATTTCTGGGGGGGGCTCCCCTAGGCCAGGAAAGTCTGCATCCTTGGCCGGCTGGGCTTGAGACATAACTGCAATGCTCCCACGAGGCCAGGTCCCCCTCCTGGAGCAGAGCTGTGCTCCCTGCCAACTGCTTAGAGAAAAAGCAGGCCTGTGAGATGAATGTGGCTGGAGCAAAACTGGTCTTCTGATTCAGGTAAATGCCTTCAGGGAGAGGGAGATTGGAAAGGAGTCAGAGGAGAAGAACACAAGTAACCAGAAGACTCGGTGAATGGGCCTTAGAAAGTGGTTAGGGGAATCAGAGTGGCTGAGTCAAGGGAAGGAAAGGGTGAACTAAGCGCCGGCTTCGATTACAGGGAGAATAATTCTGCAGAGATTAGTGGTCATTTCCACCAAAAATAAGATGCGGGATATAGACGCTTAGGTTGCTGCCTGAGGAAGTTGTTCGGTTTGTGATGGCCTGTCTGGGCTATTGCATTGTTCTTATTCATGAGGTTTGGTGGAGGGGGGCTCCTTCCTTGGAGATCTGCATGAATGAAAATGACATCCTCCCAGCTGGACTGGTTTAGAGAAAGTTTGAATGGCACACAGGTCTCTTCCCTTCAGTTCACACTGCCCAATGGCCCAGCTTGACCCTTACGTCTCATTTAGTTTGGCAGACTCTTGACTGCTATCCAGACAGTCCATCCTGACCCCTCCGATCCATGTTGCACACTGAGGTCCCACTTACCTTCCTTAAATTCATCTCGGGTTATGGCAACGTCCTCTTCAAAAAAATATTTATGCTTCACTTATTCATTCAACAGATACTAAGCACCTGTTGTGTTCAGCATCTATTATATGTCTGGGGCTCTACTAAGTGAGCTTTGTGATACGACAGGGCACAAAATGCAGTGCAGTCTTAAGGGGGTCCCTCAGTCTTCGCATCCTCGTCCTAGAATTTCTCAAGGTCCCCCACCATCTGGTTTTAATATGTCACTCTGACTTTAGGTCCACTGCAAAAACTTCTTTTCTATCAGCCTGGTCTATTCACCATGCCTAGCTCACTCCAGGCCTTACTTCTTTCCACTACTGAGGCACTGAACATCCTTACCAAAAGCTCACGTCTCCTTGGAGGCTAACAGAGTTTTCCCTCCTTCAGGTGGACCTCTGTCATCAGCTGGGTTTAGGAATTATCTAGCACATTAGCCCCCACGGTGGTTATTGGCACCAGATATTTTCTGCCCGAGTACAGGTAGGAAACTGGGTAGCTGCTATGCCTACTATGACCACTTCTGCATTCATCCACTGTGGGGTAGGACCCAAAAGAGCCATGGACCTTCTCTTCTTATCAAATGTTCTGCTGTGAGCTGTGATGAGGGTGAGAGGGAGGTAAGGAGGGTGAGGGGAGTGTTGGGCAGGGGGTTGCAGAACACTCGACACCATTAAGAAAAGGTCAAGGACATCGAATCTCTGAACTTCAAGGGAGAGAGGCTCTTGAGGCTGTTTAATAAAACTACCTTATTTTATAGATGTGGAAACTGAGGACTAGAGAAACTGATTTACCCAAAGTCAGAAGTAAAGTCATAGCCAAGCCTGCTCTCCTTGAATATGAACAAAGATGTTCTGCTGAACTATCTTGCCTTGCTGTAGTCCGGCACTTGGAATCCTAAAGAACATAACACTTCAGGACACATGTGAAAGAAATAGGAAATGTGTTAGTTCCTTATTGTGGCTGTAACAACATGCCCAAATTTAGTGGCTTAGACAGCCCAAATTTAGTATCTTGCTGTTCTACAGTTCAGAAGTCCAACAGGGGTCTAATGGGACCAAAATCTAAATGTTTGCAGGGCTTCCTTCCTGTCTGGAGCTTCCAGAGAAGAATCTGCTTCCTTGTCTTTACAGTTGCTAGAAGCTGCCTCAATTCCTTGGCTTATAGCTCCCTTCTCCTGTCTTCCAAGCCAGCAATGTGTCACACTGCCTCACCCCACTTCCTCTCCTGCCTCCTTCTTCTACTTCGAAGGACCCTTGGAATTACACTGGGCTCCCCTGGGTAATCTTCCTATCTTCAAGCAGGCTTAAAGGCAGCCAGAACTTCTCTTTGTCACATAACATAATATATTCACTGTTTCCAGGGATTAGGACATGAATATCTTTGGGGGTTATTTTTCTGCCTATCACAGGAAGGGGATAGGAAAATGAGAACAAAGATCAACTCTTTTTCTTGCTTTCTTGACTTCTCTAATTCTCTATAACCAGAAAAAGCTAGTTTGAAGATATTCTAGATCTCTGTATTCAACCTCAGGGATTTCTTCTCAGCTGTGATCTGGTTAATATAGTCAAGACACAAAGAAAAGGAATTAAAAATGCCAAAATTTATAGAAAAGGAGGCTTATAAATGTTGGCTACATGGGATGAGGACCAAGGCAAGAGTTACTAGTTTCTAAGGAACTGAAAATTCCCAGGCTTAAAGGTTATGGGTTTACTTTTCCAGGGTGGATATTTATATGAGACATCAAGATGGAATTCCCTACAATAAGCTTTGCTGATCAGTCAAATCAGTAAGAGTGGGGGTGTGAGAAAATGTCCTGAAGGATTTAAGGAAAAAATCAACCAATTTCTAGTTGGGATGGCTTCATAGACTCACAGCTCTCACAGACTAAAGGACATTTAAGAGTTTCTTTGTCCAGCCTCCCACCAAATGCAAGACCCTCTACAAGATCTTTTGCCACCCATCATCAGCCTACTTTGTAAAGCTCTGGCCAGAGATGGGAAATCATCTAGATTCTCTTAGATCTTCTCCAGTTCTCTGAGGCTACAATTTTTTGTGAATCTGAAATTTCATCTCTAATTACTTCTTGGGGTTGGTAGGAAAATCAGACAAAATGTCCCCATCTTTTCACTGTTGGAATGGCAGGATGTTGACTGTTGTTATATCTTCATGTAAAGTGTCCGAGAATCCCTAGACCATATGTCATATTTAACTCTCACATATGAGGCTGCAAGGATAGGGAAGAGTCATCTGCCCTCAGACCTGGAGGCTTCACAGAGCTCTCTTTTCCTCAGATGCTATCTTACCTGCTGTTTAATCTACCTAGAAATTTCCACCCCCTGCTTTCGATAACAGATGTAGCCTGTCTTCCTGGCCATGTGGGAGACATGCCTAGGAGAGCTGATCACATACCTTATGTGTTTAGCCTTGGTGAATGGGCCAGTCAACATCTAATCTTGGATTTTTTTTTCCCAGCCCATGGGAGGGAAGCAGGGGAAACTCCTATGTGCTCAGGTCATGGTCTATGAGGAGGTGACCTTTGACCATGGCCACTTCCATAGAGGATCTAGTCTGGGAAAATGGCATCAAGCAAGAGCAAAAAAGAGAGAGAATAAGAGTCCTGAGGATATCCCTCAATCCAATCATCTCTCTTTTTTTTCTTTTTTAATGTTTTGGTTATATGAACAAATAAATTTCCCTTTTAGGCTTAAGTTGGTTTAAGATGTGTTTCTTCCATTTGTAGCCGATGAGTCCTGAATAATTTAGGGCCTCTCTCAGCCTTGCTCTTTCCTAGAGATGCTGAAAAGTGGACTACAAATCAGAAACCATTAGTTTCAGAGTTCAGCCTGTCCATGATGATTTGGGGAAGAGTCAGGAGAAAGAAAGGACAGGAAATCATGCAAGTGAGAAAGATTCTTTTGTGTGAGGTCCAGTGGGATGGAATCCACAGGTGTCGCATGGGGTCCCGCTACCTTTGCTCCTTTTGGACCTCAGCTTGGTTAAAATAAATTATGACTCCAAACTCACACAGTTTCAGGCCAAAGTTGGGGTCTCAAAATGAGTGTTTTTCTTTTTTGTGGACATGGTGTTACTTGTTTGGTGTAAATCGGAGATTTAGAGAATACTCAGCAGATTCGCTGGCAAGCACAATGTTTTGGCAGCAGAGAGAGAAGAAAAAAAAAGAAAAAGGGGGGAGGGGAGAGAAGCGGAAAAAGTAGCAGAAGTAAGGAGAGAAAGAGAGAGATGACTCCATCAGCAAAATGCTGACTGCATATCTCCTTCGTGTGTGAGGTTGTGCTAATTTCCACTCGTCATTCCAATGCCACAAGCAGCAGCCTTACTCGTGACGACAGACGCTGAGTTAGGTGTGTCTGGTGTAGGAAAAACGTACACCCAGGTATGAACGGCAAGCAGCAAAGTAAGCGGACAATTACTCACGAAGGCTGTTAAGGAAAGAACAGGATGAATGGGCCCATGTTTAAACCAGAAGTTAAGTTAAAACATATGGGAAATGTTTTTTTGATATTCACGGAAAGCCTGGAACAGTCTACACAAAGAGGCCATGGCGTCTCGGAGAGAGGGAGGCTGTCGAGAATAGTTTAGACTGCTTTAGGGCTGCCTCACGAGACTGATTACAGGCCCACGTCCCTGCCCTTCACATCTGCTTTTCAGTAACAGCACAGGGGAAGGCAGGCCGTAAAAGGCTTTTGCATTTTTTTTCCTGGCAGACTTCATTCTTTTTCATGTTTGTTTTGTGAAGAAAAAATATACATATAGTGCAGTAAACAGCTGAACAAAATCTATACAATTTTGTCCACGCTTTTGAAATGCTCCCAGCTTTGGATATAGTGTTTATTTATGTAGCTTGGAAGTCAGAATGGGTCTGGGAGGTCAGAAGATAGCTGAACTTTTGACTCTGCCCTCCAGCGCACGCAGTTTTGTGCATTGTTTTATCTCCCAAATGGGAAAGCGAGGACCCATTCTTCAGCCATATCTCACTCGCAGAGCCTTTCCCCTCCTGCAGACCGTGCCCCAACAGGCAAGCTTGAACACACCCCAGGAAACCATCGCGCCATTGTGAAAGGGCTAATCGCTACACAGCACTTGGTTTTCCTTCCTGGACTGCGTCTCGGGCCGTGGCTGTGTGGTTCCCACATTGTTTCTGTCGTGGTCCCAAGGAGCGTCACTCTTGATCTGG